ATGACTTTAATAATTTTGAAATCTTTTTCATTCTGGACTTGTTTGCAGAAGTCAAAGAACACAAAATGTGACTCATCCTTGTGTTTTAAGAACTTTACCCATGTCCATCTGCTATAGTCATCAACAATGACTAATCCATACTTCTTACCTCTGATGGATGCAGTTTTCACTGGTCCAAACAGATCAATATGAAGTAATTCTAATGGTCTTGAAGTTGAAACAACATTTTTTGATTTAAAAGAAGATTTAGAAAATTTTCCTTTTTGACATGCTTCACAAAGAGCATCTGAGTTGAACTTCAACTTAGGAAGTCCTCTGACCAGATTGAGTTTATTAATCTGAGATATACGTCTCATATTAATATGTCTCAATCTTCTATGCCAGACCCATTGCTCATCATTAACAGACAAAAGGAATTTAACATTTTGAACCTTAAGTTCTGAAAGATTGATTTTGTAAATGTTGTTCTTCCTCTTTCCATTAAATAGGATTGAGTCATCCTTCTGACAAACAGCTTTGCAACATTTTTGATTAAAGATTATATCATAACCATTGTCACTTAATTGACTTATGGACAATAGATTATGCTTTAATCCTTCTATAAGAAGAACATTAGATATAGAGGGAAGGTTACCATTGCCAATAGTACCAGAGCCAATGATCTTGCCCTTCTGATTCCCTCCAAACTTCACTTCTCCTCCAGATTTAAGCTCCAGGCTTTGGAACATAAACCTTTCTCCCGTCATGTAACGTGAGCAGCCAGAGTCCAGGTACCATGACTGGCGTCTTGACTTTTCTGCTAAATACATCTGCAACAGGGATAATCTTATCCTTAGGTACCCATATCTTTTTGGGTCCTTTTAGGTTAGTTGCCTTGAAAGTCTGTCTGAACTTCTGTCTTTTTATGACAGTTTTATTCTGATTGACTTTTGGCTTAAACACAAGAACGTTCTGATCAGAACATGTATGTTTAATATTATTTAGATGACCAAACTTGAAATGAGAGTATAAAGGAGTTTTTTTAATTATAAGTTTATCAATAGGCATTGGATTTAAATCCTTTCCAGAGGAAGATTCATATCCAATTCCTTTCCTGTTGTTTATGCTAACCCCATAGATCATTGAACCCATCTTGCTTCTATCTATGCTTTTAGCCAGAAACTTCTGAAAGCTGAAGTCATATTCTTCTAAAATATTTTTGCATTTAGACTCACTTTCAGATTCAGAGTTTTGTTGAGTTTTTTCAAAATTTGCTTTCATTTTCAAATTATTTTCTTTTAGCTCAGCAACTTCTAATCTTAACAGATTATTCTAAGATCCAAGATTGCATTTAAGCTTCTTGCATTTGAGCTTAATCTGATTATAATTTTTCAGGACTTCTGATAAGACTTTAATAAGCTCTTCCCTAGTGAGATCAGAAAGTACCTCTTCTGAATCAGATAAAGATGATCCTTCATTCTGATCTTCCACTCCTGCCATCAGAGCCATGTTGGCGCATTCATCTTCAGATTCTGATGAGGATCCAGATTCATCAGAGTCATCCCAAGTTGCCATTAGAACCTTCTTCTTTTTGTCAAACTTCCTCTTTGGCTTTTCTTTTAGAAGCTTTGGACATTCATTCTTGTAATGGCCAGGTTCTTTGCATTCAAAGCAGACAACTTCCTTCTTTCCTGATCTTTTTGGTCCATAGGACTCCTTGCGCTGATCTGGCTTTTTGAAGTTCTTGAACTTCCTCTGCTTGTGCTTCCAGAGTCTGTTGATTCTTCTGGACAGCAAGGATAGTTCATCTTATTCTTCAGAAGAAGATTCTTCAGAGCTTTCTTCTAACACCTGATAAGCTTTCACAAATTTGTTAGATTTTAAGGCAATTGACTTACCTTTCTTTTGAGGCTCATCTTCCCTATTAAGAGTGATTTACCTTTCTCAAACAAGGACTTAATCCACTATTTAATCAACTAATAACAATAGCAAGCACTAAGAACAACAGTTCTTAGTCTTCTCAAGAACTACTGATCCTAACTGGATCTTCTTAAGGTTCTTTTACAATCAAATGTAAGAATAATACAAGTGTTTAAATTGCTTCTAATTAAGCTATATCACAACTGTGATTTTACACTTAAGATTTAAGAACTATGAAATAAATTCAGCAAATGATATAAATTGTATGAGAGCTTTCTTTGAGTTCTTTCAATGTTTCGTCAACTGAAGAAGAGTGATGGAGTCTTCCTTTTATAGGCAAAGAGGTCCAAGTAGCTATCACGTTGAAGGCTGTGTACTAAAAAGGTCTGAGCCTTTTTGTCTTCACATCACATGACCTTTCCTAGAAATAGAATGCACAGAGAAATCTTTTTTGTCTGTGTTCTTGTGTCTAGCATAAACGAGGAAAGAGTCGTTTGGCCAACCCAACGGACATAACTTTGAATTCTTCTTCAACAAGTTTCAGCAAATATCATCAGAGTCTTGAGCAGTCAGAGTCTTCTGATGTTCATCAGAGTTTGCTGAATCAGAGTCTTTGCAGCATGTGTGCTTTCAGCGTGTAATTGTTCAAAGCAGAGTTTGGGATCAGATCCTCAGTACTGGCAACGTAGTACTATCAGATTCTTCTGAAATAAACTAAGCTTGACACTCTTCATACAAAAATACTCAATGCTTCAAATGCTTCTGGCTTCTGCTTCAGATTCTTCTGTAGTCAGCGCTCAGAATCTTCTGTAGGCAGTGTTCAGATTCTTCTAAGAAATGCTTCTGACGCTTCAGAGCCTTGCATATTTTTCATGTTCAGATCTAATTTGCTTCCAGAATAATATACACTTTAATATCTGCAGCAAACATTATTGAACAAATTTTTAGAGTATATAATTCTTTAATACAAAATTTCATAAGAGTTATCATCAAAACATAGAGATATAATTAAGAACCAATCTGTGTTCTAACAATTTCTTTTTCCGTTGTTTTATTTTGAAAATCATATAATGAAGTGTTTTGTTGAATTTTATGATGTGATATCCCACTATTGAAGGGAAACTCTGATATTTATTTGATTTAATCATATTTTATTTTAATTCGGGAAAGTGGGGTGTTACAGAGCGCTGCTCCTTGTGGGGAGGAGTACGATCACACTTCTGAGTAATCGTAGGTTGTGGCCTTTCTAGCCGTGGGCGATGTCCAGGTTATCGTGGGGAGAGGCTTTGAGACTCATTCTGTTGGTGTCTCCGCAAGGGAAAGTGTGGACGGGTGTCTGGCGTTGCGGGGACGAGCTACGGGATTCAGACCATCGATGTTTCTATGGGAGAGAGCGTGATCAATAGTCCTTCTTTAGCATTCCAATTCATTCATTCTGTAGGAAAATCATGAAGTTGGTCTGGTTGATTGTTGCGAACATGGCCACTGTGGTAGGATCAACGTTAGGTGGTATGGAAATTAGTTGAAAACCCCCTGGATTCTCGAAATGTTGGGCGGTGTTGTAGGTCACATTGTCGGAGGAGCGAGAGACGGTGAGTCCGTCCCTAGGGTCACCCTATTTAGCAACAGTAGTCTCATTGCTGTTGTGGTCATCGCCGGCAGTGAAGGTGGTAAAGGCAGTTTCGTGAACGTTATCGTCGGCGTATTGACTGACCATGATGATCGGTAGGTTTTCGAAAGTTTGCTTTGGTTTTAAGTTTTAGAGAAAGAAATGACCGGGGAGCAAAGGGTTCCCACAGACTACACCATTGATCTTACCGGGATCAGAGATTCAATCAGCGGCCAACAACACGTCGTGAGCTCCAAATTCTCCGGTGACGGAGAAGATGAGGAAGGTGTACCTATAAGACATTCGGATGTCAAAGTAAGGTTCAGAGTGAAGAGAAAAGGCAAGTATGAAGTCGTGAGAGTGATTTTAGAAAATCTAACCCTTTTGCGGATGAAGATATATATAGAGCCCCCGACGTTGGGCCAAAGGTCATCTGTTGTTGGCTGGATTGTTAGGCCCACAACGGATGACTGTTAGGATCTACGTGAAAGTATGGAAGACCAGCACGTGGTCTTCATCCTAGGCCAACTGCCCCGAAAACCATTGAATTAGTTCTGCTCGACCGTGGGTCATCCGTTGGCCCTGTCCAGAACAATATAATTACTATGCCCTATCATTTTAAAAAAATTTACAATATCAATTTATCATTATTATCCGTTTGCATTATTTTATAGATAACTAAAATAAAAGTCTAACTATTCTGAACATTCAACATTTATGATTAACTGACAAAATAATAAAATTTAGTAAAAGATATATTTCATCCATTTTAAAATGAATGTCGTTTCAGAAAAAAAATTTGTTTCAGAATAAATGTCATTCTTACTTTACAATGTAATAATAATTATTATTTTTCTAATTGTGTCATATAATTAGTACTCCGTACACTATTTCAAACCATTAATCCATTAATAAAAATAAAATATCTTATAACAATATTATTATATTTCTTAATCAATATATAAAAATCTTAAACAATAATAATTTTTAAGAGTTTTTTTTATAAATAAGTTGGAATAGTTGTTTTTTTAATAAAAAAACAATTTTAGCTCTTTCTACGCAAGTAGTATAACACTTATCCAAATGAAACCGAGGAAAAGACGAAAATGCGGGAAAGAGAAAATTACATGCTGGATAATAAAGTGTCCGTGTCAGATGGTAATGAAGCCTAGTTTAAGCTATATGAAGCGCGGGGTCCAGTTAGAAAAAAGACGTTACATTAGAATTGGAACATGCCACCACCGAATGGTTCGGTCCGGTCCAAAATGCGTTCGTCCCCTTCACGGCTTTGCAACCTTCAACACTTTCTCCACTACAATTCAATTCACTTTAGCTAATCCAAATCCACGTGTTATCCTCCAATTAGTCATCACCTAGATCTCCCGGTCCCACCACACCAGCTAGATTTGAATAGAACTCAAACAAGTAAACAACTTGCTCTTTTCACATAACAACTATTCTTCTTTCCAACAAAAAGAAACTCTTCCCAAAAATGTCTTCTAAACTCTGTGACTCATGTCAATCCGCCACCGCCACTCTCTACTGCCGCCCTGACTCCGCCTTCCTATGCGCCTCCTGTGACTCCAAAGTCCACGCCGCTAACAAACTCGCGTCCCGTCACTATCGCGTTACTCTATGCGAAGTCTGCGAGCAAGCACCTGCACACGTCACCTGTAAGGCCGACGCCGCCGCTCTATGCATCTCCTGCGACCGTGACATCCACTCTGCTAACCCCCTCGCCGCTCGCCATGAGCGTCTTCCTATTACTCCTCTCTCCGAATCCATCACTTCTCACTCCGAGAAGGCGCTTCACAATAACAACAACTACGATGCTGTTAAAGATGAAGCCGAAGCTGCTTCGTGGTTGCTCACCGATCCTAAGGCGGATCTTAACTCATCTCCTTACATTTTCTCCGATTCCGAAGCTATTCCATTCATGGATCTCGATTACGGTGTAATCGAACATAAAAATGTCGACGGTGTCGTTCCCGATCACGGTAACTTCGATCTTTTCGCTTATGCGTTCAAAAACAACAACGTGCAGTCACGTACAGAGTTAGAGACGCCGACACCGTCACAGTCGCAGATTAGTCACAGTGTAAGAGATCTCAGATCTGATATTCTGAAAACTAGTTTTATTCAGAAATTTAGAAATATTCAATAGGTAATTTACTTGTGTTTGTATTGCGATTAATCAGGTTGTGTCATCGTCGATGGAAGTCGGAGTTGTTCCTGACGGAGACGCTGTATCAGAGGTATCTAACGATGGATACGGCAAGGTGGCGGTGGCGGCGGATCGCGAAGCTAAGGTAATGAGGTATAGAGAGAAGAGGAAGAATCGAAGATTCGCGAAGACGATTCGTTACGCTTCTCGTAAAGCTTATGCGGAAACTAGGCCAAGGATCAAAGGACGGTTTGCGAAACGTACAGATGCCGTTGATTCTCTCGGTGGATACGGCGTCGTTCCTACTTGTTGATTTTTTTTTTTGCTCTTGTAATGTTGATTTCTTTGCTTCTTTTTACTTTTCATTTTCCGTCCTGTTGTAAATAACTTTTTGTTCGTCTTAATCGTGTGCGTAATGTAAATTTGCAAACTGATCTATCTTGCCAACGATTTTGAATGGTTTTCGGAAGAATTTTGTAAGAGTGTTATGAAGTTATGATGATGAAAAAATGAAAATGATGTGGAATGAGTTATAGTGGCGAAGAACACAACAGTTATCGTCCTTGTTCAGTAATGGCTGCTATTTAGATTTGCATGTGATTAGCTTATCTAATTCTGGAGTACTTTTCGCTTAGGTGTGATTACATGATTTTTTAATCACAAATCATAATATTTTAATTCAACACTAGTACTACTGATAGCAAGATCATTAAGCACAAAAGAATTATAAGAAAATCAGGTTGGACGGATAATCATTATTTAAAAATTATTAAATCATGTATCATTGTATTTTCAATTCCTTAAGTGTGACTGGTGAAATAGAAAAAGATCATTGGGATGCTTAGTAATTAAATGTAATTTTCTTTGGCATGAACATTTAAAATTATATTTTATTTTCATTTGCTTTGAAGTCTAATAGCGAAATCTTAATTTTGGGAGTAGTTATAGAATTCACCCCTCATTGGTGTTTCACCTTCAATGGCTTCCAAAGTCACAAACTGCACTCCTAAAGACCATGATGATTCTTTTCTTGCCACAACTTAATGCCTTGAAGACCTCATCCACAACAACGAGAATTTTGAATCAATCATGGAAGTTAATAATAACTCTATTGCATTGCAGTTGGAACAACTTGAAAACAATAACCAAAATTGCATTGCAGTTGGAACAACTTGAAAACAATAACCAAAACATTTCATAGTAGTTGGGGCACATGGAAATCAACCACTGCAACCTTAAAACGATCATGAAAGACAACTTTGCAACAGTCAAAAACAACTTTGCAACACTCACATTTTTCATGACTCAACAATGTGCTGCCATGGCAGCTTCTACATCACGAAACATACATGTATCAAGTATAACTTCTTCTCCCTTAAACCCCCTACTTTTGAACATGTGGTAATCAACACCTCATTTCCACTTATGCATATATCCTTACCAACTTCCCTTCCCTCACAAGGCCAACCCTAACCGCTACTCAAATATCCATTCCATTCCACCACCACTCTCTTTGTCCAACCACAACCAACTTTATACTCTGCTCACTCAATTTTTACAACTGTCTCATCCACCCCATTTCCACCACACTACAACCAACAACATAACATATTCCCTGCTTTTTCGCAGAATAACAATATTCTACAACCATTATTTAAAACACCCAATTTTGAGCTAGGAATTTTTTATGGGACTGATGCTTTATAATGGCTATTTTAGGCAGAATATTTTTTTTGCTTTTTATGATATTTCTTACGAAAATCGTTTGCCCATGGCCGCATTTTATATGAAAGGGGATGCCCTTGGATGGTATAAGTGGATGTTTGAATACCATGAACTTTCTAATTTGCAAGCTTTTTCTATGGCTCTTGAATTACATTTTGGTCCCTCAACCTCTAAAAACCACCACTCCCAACTGTTCAAACTGAGATAACATGGTTCAGTTTTAGAATACCAATCCAATTTTGAAAAATTAGGAAATAAAGGGATATGATTACCATCAGATGCAATATCGATTTGCTTCATATCAGGTTTAATTCCAAAAATTTGTAATGAATTAGCTATACAACATCCTTACTCTATTTCACATGTTATGGGATAGGACAAACTCATTGAGGATAAGCTTAAAGATGTAAAACCTAAATATTTCAAACCCCCAAATCCAATTTATAACCCCATAACACCCAACAGCTTTATCCAAAACCACCACATACTAGCTCAAACACTACATCATTGACTAAATCTCTATGTAAGGACTACCCCCAGAGAATTGTATTCTCCATCCTCAGCAGAGAGAGTTTGGGATAACTTCCCAATAAATCTTATTCTTAATCCCTAGCAGGTTGGATTTAATCTCCAGCAGAATGGTATCCCCGGCAGAGTGGATTTATTCCCCCAACAGTTTGTCTACTCTTCGGTAGAGTCGTATTTTAGGAGGCCATCCAGGACTGTTTTCCCCAGTCGAGTGTTTTTGTTCCCCAGAAGAGTTGTATTCTGAAAAGACGTTCAGGGCGTTTTCCTCGGCAGCGATGATTTGATCCCCAACAGAGTTGGTTTCGTCTCTTCAGCATTTATTTTGCTGGAGTGGTTCCTTTGCATTTGCATTGTGCATAACATCCTCCCAAATGCGTAGCATTTTCATTTCGTATGGAGCATTACGCCATATTCAAACATATACATTTGAAGCATAAGCCAGGTTGTTACCTTGTGTTACTGATCGCCTCTCCAGCAGACGACAGTGTTTCTCTTGAGTCTGTGCGGTATCCAGACCCCAACAAAGAATCTTTAATAAACATGTTCATTTTATCATTATCTCCCCAACAAAGCTTATTTGATCAAGTTCATTCTTCCCCAGCGGAATTCTCCTTCAGATTGTGAATTCTATTACCGACTTCGTGTGGAGCCAACCTTAGGGTTCGTTGCCTGTTTTAATTAATGGATGCCTGCTTTGGATAGCAGATGTTACCAACTTTGGGTGGAGTCGACCTTAGGGTTCGTTGCCTGTTTTGATTAATGGATGCCTGCTTTGGATAACAGATGTTACCAACTTTGCGTTGAGTCGGCCTTAGGGTTCGTTGCCTGTTTTGATTAACGGATGCATGCTTTGGATAACAGATGTTACCAACTTCGTGTTGAGCTGACTTAGCGTTGTTGCCTGGTTTGTTTAACAGATGCCTGATGGTGAAATCAGATGTTTTTCTTACCGACCGAGTATCGAGCCGACTTAGTGTCGTTGCCTGCGTGATAGTAGATGTTTCTTCCAACTGCGTGTCGATGTTTTCTAATTGGTGATGAGTTAGCTCATTTTCCTACAACTATCAGATACAGTTTCTCCAGTGATCCTATTTCCACTCCGGTGGACCATTCTACAGTTCGCTACTTTGCGGTTGGCAAATTTCTGGATTCTTTTATATTCAAACACCTTTTACCTTGAATGTTTGAAAGTCGTTCGCTTTTCAACCCTTCAGGTTCAATTTGTTTGAATAGGGGCAGTTGTTGTACCCCAAAATTTGACCAACATTTTCTTTTAACTTGACTTATGTTTCTTTTCATTTTAGCATTCACATTTGCATAGCATTGGTCCTTACAGGGGATCAAGAGGTGTTGTGTTTTCCATTCAAGAAGAGAGCTTCATGTGCAATATCAAGCAAGGGTATCATTTACAATACATCAAGGGTTCATTACCATCAGATGTGGGTTTCAAAGCTCCTTGAGGGGAGAGGTTAGTGTATGAGTGTTACCTCTTATCTTGAGGATCATCAGAGGGTCATGAGGTCACCATTTTGGACAAGGTTTGGTTCAAAAGCTCAATGTGTATCTTAAGAGGCCTTTATGGAGTTTGTGTGGTCAAACAATTCACCTGCAAGAGCCTCAGTCAAGGGATATGGTGTTAGGGTTTCATCTGATCAACTCAAAGTCAACTGTGGACTTGAGAGGGTTCAAGACTTGGTTCTAGGTCATTGAGCCATGGGAAGTCATCTTGAATCATCTAGGGTATTATGTTGAGATCAAATCAAGAAGACTCGGGAGTTCAAGGAGTTACTAAATTAGGGTTTCAGTTGATTTCAGTGTAAAATCCCCTTCTTTGGTGCCTAACTTCAAGGACAATTTTCATTATAATGCAAGGTCAATCTCATTTTCAAGCAAACATAAGACTTGTTAATCATCTTTCAAGCTTTATTTTGAGTACAAGAACTCATTCATTGAGTTTGTACATCTCAAGTTATGGTGTCAACAAGTTGGTGTCATCAGATGAAGAGAATTTTGGTCAACTCAAAGTCAACTCACTTCCAAGGTATTTTTCACTTGGAATCAAGTTTCTCCTCACTTTAAAGTGAACATGAAAGTTGTTCCTCATTGTCTTAACTTTCGAAAAAGTCCTAGAAGTCCTCATTCTCATGTGTGGAACTCAAGTTATGGTCTCTACCAGGCAAGGGTATTTTTGGAAACTTCATTATAGGTCATTCATTTCAATGACCATTTCATGCACATCAAGGCCTCTAATCCATTTTCAAACAACATGAAACTTGTGTCTAATTGCCTAACTCCACAATAAACTCAAAATTCATGAGGATTGATGGTTTATATGATCATTTGAGCCATATAGAAAGTGGAAACTTGACCTTTTGGACCTACAATGCTCATCTCTCATTTAAAGCTACTAAATGACTTTGTTTTGAAACTTTTTACACCTTAATGTCATCAAATATTGGTCTTGCTACTGTTTACTACATTTGGACCAACAAAGGTACATGTTATAGGTCATTTTTAAAACTTTATACCCTTAAAAAGTCATGCACCAAAAACTTACACAAAGGCATTCTACATGATCCAAAACCATTCAATTGATTTCTACACACCATGTATATTCTTTTGATGACCACAAAATGAGTGGAAAAGAGGAAACCCGTGGGTACACATAAGTGGAAGTTTTTTGGAAAAAATTGAAATCACACAATTGAACCATCATGGGCCTGCATGGTTGCCTCAAGTCCACCATATTTAAGCTCTAAAGTTGCCCTAATACCTCAGAGGAGGCTAGTTGTGTGAGAGAGAAGAGAGCACATCAAAATTTCTTCAAACTTTTCCATTCTTCGAATTGGCTATTTCCTTGAGTATTCCTTCAAACTGTTGCTCAAAACATCATCACCAAGGACCAAAGAGGAGATTAGAAGCTTGGAACTGAAGCTTGCACTCATTTTGAAGGGTCAACGGAACCATTCCGTTTGGTAAACTTTCTCAACTTGAATCTTCCATTTTAGGCATCTATTAGGTTGCATTTTGGGCACATCTGAAGTCCTACGCAATGTAGGC